TTGTACAGCAATTAACCACTAAGAAGAATATATGCAGTGTATTATTTGTTGAAACTACTTCTGATCTGATTTGAAACTGTCTCATTGCTACCTGTTTATCAATAAAACTTTGGAAAAAAGTTATTAAAATCTCACACATGTAAGTTATTGATCCTTCTAGATTTAAGCCTAATTATATTTTTCCATAAATAAAACATGCATGCAAACAAAAAAAAAAACAAGGAGTCTCTTTGGCAACCGGTTCAGCCCCACCAACACCACCAACAGCAACACCAGCACCAGCACCAATAGGGGTTCATTTGCTGGAGGAATTTTCTTTACAATAATCGGTGCTTTCTGCTTTTGATCCATAGTAAATACCCTCTGCTCAATGCTCTTGTGACTCTCTACCCTGTATTTCTTTCTAATGTGAGAGAAGAGCCACATGGTAACAGCTGGAATCCTGGGCCTGCAGAATTCCACAAAGCCAATGGCCAATCAGAGGTCTGAGATGGTCCAGCCCTGCTTCTACAAGTGGGTGGAAACATCAGAGAAGCAGCTGCTCATGACACTATTTGAGGGAAATATTTGCAGCTCAGGGAAAGGGATGGTAAAGTTCATAACAAATTGCCTAAACAGTTAATCAGGCTTTAAAAATATAAAACCATGGGCCAGCCAAATAGCTCAAAGGATTAAAGCACCTGCAAGCAGGCAAAGGGGCCAGGGGCTCAATCCTGTAATCCCAGCTCTTGGGAGGCTGTTAATAGGAGAATCACTACAAGTCCAATCTAGTAATGAGACCCTGAACACCCTGTAGACAAACTTCCTTAAAATACAAAAATTAGCAAATAAATGAATGAATAAAATAAAACCTTCATAAGTTTTTGTGTTGTTTTTAAAAAATCTTGAGCCAAGGAAAAGCTAAATGAAGACTACTGGAGGCATGTCATCCAGCAACCTTCTAATTAAAATTATTTTGTTATTGATATGGGGAATAAAACTCCCCTCCTGAATGATTTCTGGGAATAGTTTGTGTTCTCTAAAATGGAAGCATGAATTTGATTCAAATTAACAATGGAGTTTAAGAGCAGAATCTATTTATTGGGGAAAGAAAGTTTCTGTCAGGGAGACAGAAGGGTCCTGGGCAGCTTGCCAAAGAATTTGCCCTTTCTAGGAATCTTTATAGAGCAAAGTCAGGATGCAAGGTGGGTCTAAGGTGGAAAACACAGCAACTCATTCACAAGGTGGGACAAAACTATGGGCAACCGGTAAGATTACAAGCAGAACTGCTCAGGTGAAATTGATTACATCCAGGACCAAATGGGGAAGGCAGTCATGTAGGAAGCGGGCATGAATATACAACAGAGGCTTACCCTGTAGGGGTTGGGTTAGAGGCTCTTCCTGACCTCCTGAAGGTAATTGAGCCCTATGTAGAATATCAATCCTGGGTGCTTATCTTTAGGGAGGTATGCATCTGATTGACCTTTTGTCTTGAGATCTCACCCACAATGGGAGTGTCTGTGTCTCTCACAGTTACAACTATCTAGCTCCTACTGAGAGCCTAGCCCTGTCTGCCTGCCTATACTATTTCTACCTAACTCAGTTGCTTACAATAGTCTCATTATTTTAAAGCTATATATATTCATAAGAGGCAATTTACACTGAATTGAGAAATTTTTAGATTACTGTATGTCCTATGCTTAAATTTCAAAACCAGAAACAAGATTCCCAAAGAGAAAAATGCTTCTTTTCTCATCTCTTTTTGCTTTAATGCTCCAAAGTTTGATAGATAAGGATGGATGCTATTTTTCCCTAAATTTGGTTAGCCATCCCTGTTAAGGACCTGGAGGACTTTTCCTTCAACCTTTATTTTCCTACAGTTTTGTTTAAAAGAGGGGTGTGTGTGTGTGTGTGTGTGTGTGTGTGTGTGTGTGTGTATGTGTGTGTTCCATGTAGCCTAATTAAAGAAATTTGTTATATCAAGTAATTTATTTGCAGAGAAAGTCCTGTGTCCTAGAAATTTGCATTGCGTTGCTTCATTATTACCTTTAAATGGTACAGGTATTAAAATAATAGAGTATTGCTGGGATCATGGGTGTGAATGCTGCTGGGATTATGGGTGTGAGTGCTGCTGGAATTATGGGTGTTACACCCAGTCTGGGGCAGAAGGCCTGAATGCAACATAAGGAAGACAGACTTGTGTTCTGTTGCCACTGTTACTGCTATGCATCCCTCCTTCATTTCGGGTGTTGGGTACTTGTCCTAGCAACAAGACAAAAGTAACTAAGACAACAGGGGAATGTTTAAAAAAATCTTGTTGTACCACATACAGGTCCAAATTCCCTATGATGAATGTGATCATTATGGGCAAGTTCAAACCTCTTTATACCTCAGCGTTCTCACCTGCAAAATAGAAGTGATAAGAGCATATACCTCATGAGATTGTCTTGATATTTAATTGTGAAATACATGCAAATTGAGACTGCACATGGTGGTGTATGCCTGTAATCCCAGATCCTGGAAGGCTGTATACAGGCAAATCACTACAAGTCCGATATAGTAATGAGATCCTGCACACCCTGTAGACCCTTCCCTAAATACAGATACATATGCAAATTACTTGGACATTGCCTGGCATAAGAACTAACTATATCTCTGAGGTATTATTCACTGCTAGTTCCTTAAATCACAGATGGAACTAAGTTAAATGGCGATTCCGGGGGGCAATACTCAAAATCAACTAAAGCTTTAATATGGCTTTCATTTCCAAGTTAGTGTTTTACAAAGGAAAATCTAGGCACTGTTTCCTCAGTGCCAGCTCCCCAAATAGGGAGAGAGAGCACTAGGAACCAGATCTGCTCATCATTTACATCTCCAGTACAACACACTTAAGAATTCTGAAATAAACAAATGCAATGAATGTAAAAATTATGTGCCAGCTTCTTCCACCTGGGGGTAAACAGTGGGAGTTACCACAGGACCTGTCCCTTAGAGGCTAGGAAGACTTCATTCTGCAAAATCTAGAGAGCAGCAACTTAACATGGCAACAGCCAGCAACTCTCTGGAGAGTGAACTGCCATCATCGTCCCTCATCATCTTAGCTTTCATCATCGTAGGCACTGAAAGCTTTGTCGGCATCGTTGTAAACAGTTTCATTGTGGCTGTCAATGTGGCTCTGTGGGTTCAGAAGAGGGCTGTTTCCACCAGTGGGAAGATCCTACTCTTCCTGAGTGCTTCCAGAATAGCCCTCCAAAGTTTCATGGTGCTAGACATCATCTCAATCTATACATTCCCAGGTTTTTATTTGAAATGTGTCTTCGATTGCATATACAGAGCAGGTTTCATGTTCTTAAACTGTTGTGGCCTCTGGTTTGCTGCTGTGCTCAGTTTCTTTTACTTTGTGAAGATTGCCAACTTCTCCTGTCTTCCTGTCCTCAAGCTGAAGCGGAGAATTTCGGGATTGGTTCCCTGCCTCCTCTGGCTATCAGTGTTTATTTCCTTCAGCTGCAGCATGTCCTTCCCCAAGTGCATCTTCATTGTGAGTTCTAACAGTTCTTTAACTTTCCAGCATGGCAACTACACAAAGACACACGTGGTCAGGCTGGCTGTGTTCTTCACCCTGGGGGTCTTCATTCCCCTGGTGATTTTCATCATAACAGCCTCTCTGCTGATCATCTCTCTCAAGAGACATATCCTGCTGATGGAAAACAGTGCCACTGGCTCCAGGGACCCCAGTATGGAGGCTCACGTGGGGGCCATCAAAACAATCAGCTACTTTCTCATCCTCTACATTTCCAATGCAGTTGCCCTGTTTCTCCTTCTGTCCTCCATCCTTCCTCGCAGTTTTTTCTGGAATGTTTTGCTTAAAGTCATCATAGCTGCCTATCCAGCTGGCCACTCAATCCTACTGATTCAGGACAATCCTGGGCTAAGAAGAGCTTGGAAGCAACTTCGACCTCAAATTCATCTTTGTCCAAGAGAGTAGATTGTGAGATGAACACCTGAAGAGGATCACAGAATCTGTAACTACCAGCCCTGTCCATCCCTCAAGTAGACGTCTCTCTTACCTCTTCCTTTCTTCCTTGAACTTGGTCTGAGTCCTCTACATGGTGAGAGCTTTTTGTATGTGTGGTTGATCTTTTTTGTTCTGCTTCATGGACATGATCCTACGGATGCTTAGTGTATTTTTTTATTCCTGAGCTCACTATGTTGACATTCTCTTGCTCCATCTACAACTGTGACTCTAGAGACCAACTACATATTAAGAAACCCATGGTTGACTTTGCAAACATGAATGTCTCTACCCAGCCTTGGGCCTTGTAATCAATTAAATCATAAGTTCTGATGCTGGGAACTGAGACAATTCCCTAAAGTCTCCAAGTAATTCTGATGTGCAGCTACCATTCATACTGCCATCAAAATAGAAGGTTCAGAAGCTTTAGATCCTGATTATAGTTTTACTTCTACACATATTTTAAGCACATTCAAAATTATATAGAATGTATATATGTGAAATATTATATATGAAAAAGGAGATAGATTTTTCTGCAAGTGGGGAAAAAACAAGTTATGGAAGGAGGTAGGGAAAGGGGATATAAAAAGTACTGAGGGCCGGGCAGATGGCTCAGTAGAATGAGTCTTCCCTGGCAAGCACAAGGGCTTGAGTTCAATCCCTGGTTCTATCAAAAAAAAAAAAAAAAAGTATTGAAATGTTCTCTGTAGAGGTACCAACTCCCCTCAATAAATACAATCATTATGTACTGTAAACATACTAACAAAGAAAAAAGAAAAGAACCAGTAAAGCTGGAGATATCTCACAGTAGGATTAAGTTTCATTCAAAAACTAAAACTAGGCCAGGCGTGGTGGTGCTTACCTGTAATCCCAGCAGGGAGGAGGCAAGAGGATCTCAAGTTCAAGGCTAGTGTGGGTTACACAGTGAGTTCAAGGACAGTCAGAACTACATAGCAAGTACCTGTTTGAAAAAAGAAACCTAAATAATTTGGAAATATTTCTCAAGATTAAAAATGCACAAAGTAGCTTTCAACTCAAGAAATTATTAACAATTCATATTTATACATGACTGAAGAAATTTATACATATTTCAAATTATTTGAAGATCTTTATTAGGGCTTTGTTTATTAATGAGAAGACTCAGTGAAATATTAAGCCAGACACTACTCAGCCTCATGAAGCTCATCGCATTAGATTTCCTGATGGGTACTCAGCTTTTCCCATCACTGGAGGAGCTCAGGACCTCACTGTTGCTGAGGGTGGCTGTGGTACTTTTGGGGGTGCTCTGGTGCTTACCCTGAGCATTGCTTCCTGGCTCCAGTTCCAATCCTCAGCTTGCTATCACAGATCCTTCATCCCACTGGCATGGACTTCCTAGCTTCTACCACTGACCTTTGGGCCTTTCCAGCACATATCCATGAAGCAGGTCTCCGTGGGACTTTGTTGTGGACTCTAGGCCTCCAGTTGGACTGGTAGAAGGTTTCATTATAATGTCTAGGCCTTCAGCTGGATTTGTTAGTATTTAGTGTGTGGATAGATTTCCTGCACTTGTGGTATGTTACACTTGGTTGATTCATTATAAAATACTATTATAAAAAAATAATGTTTGGACAGGATTTCATGTCTGCATCTTGTACTATAAATAACTACTATGAAGACAACAATATGCAATGTATTAATTATTTAACTGTCCTACTAACTTGTTTTGAAGCTGTCTCATTGCTATTTGTTTCTCAATAAAATTAATAAAAAAATTTAAAAAGAAATATTAAGCCAGGTGTGGTACTGAATGTCTGTAACACCAGCACTCAGGAGGCTGAGGCAGACAGATCCCTGGCAGTTTGAGCCTAGGACACATGGTGAGTTCAAGACCAACCTGGACTATATAGCAAGACCTAGGCTTAAACAACTGAAAAAATTAAACAACAACCAACAAAAAATAAATGAAATATTATGTTGATTGTTTAAAGGAAAGAAATACATATATATTTTAAAATATATAATATGTTAGATGTAAAAAGGAAATATTTTATTAATTCATTTATGTTTCTGCTTTTACAAAATATTATTTTGTATGTATTTATATACAAGTATAAAATTTGTGGAATAAGGCATCAAAAATTAACAGGGGACTGCTAGCTAGTATCATTTTGTACTTACGACACATAAAACATTTGTATTTTCTTTTATGAATTTCTGCATCAGTTGGACTTTTCAGAACATGTAAGAATTAATATAATTTTAAGAGACTTATACTACTTTTAATGAGAAAGAAATTAGGTAAGAAAAGATGAGTGAGGTTACTGTATACCTTAGTTTATTAATTAAGTCAATTTTCAATTTTTCTCTAAAAATGCAATCATCTAAAATCAGAAATCAAGTATCTCACACAACTATTGCCACCTTGCATTTTTCCATTTTATCTACTCAAAGAATGATATGGAAAATTCACGGGCTAGGGATTCATCTGCACCTCTGTATTCTCTACCTTTCCATCAAGACCCTCCTGCTTCACTTTCTTACCTATTCCGCTTGGACTAGACCCACCTCCTAAACCATGGTTTCAGTGTTTAAAGGCAAAATGAAATGTACCAGAAATTTTCTTTGAAATTATCGAACAGAGAAAGACAAAACAGAGTGGGGACATTCAGACTAATCACATGTTGATGATTCTTTTTAACAAAACATTTCATGGACATGGAAGGTCTTCATGCTATCCACTGTACTATACTATACTATACTATACTATACTATACTATACTATACTATACTATACTATACTATACTATATTATACTATATTATATTGAAATGTCACAAGATGCTTGAAATTTTTACTGATACAATTTATATGTAAGTGATTCACACTGTACTCAAATTTTCTGGTTCTTATCCTTCTTTAATTCTACAGTGACAAATAACTTCACTTCTAGATGAACTCTACCAACACTGTTTGCTTTGAAGCCTCTGAGCATTACCTGAGAGCCTGTCATAACTGCATAAGTGTAGGTTTCTATGGATTCATACCATCAGCCCAACTGAACATCCTGAGCACTTCTATCCTGTATTTCCCTAGACAAATCACTCATTAACTGCCCCAAATGCCTAACACATCTTTTCCTCAGACCTCACACTTCCAATTTCCTTCTCCCTACTTCAGTTGCTACTGAAGTCACTCAATTTTTTGACAGATGTTCCTTCATCTTCTCATTCATAAACTTACAAAACTACCAATTTTGTTCTTTACTTCCAATTATTTTAAAAAGAAATGAGTGCCACTCAACCCTGATGTTTGTTTACAATGTAGTTTACAGTCTTGCAATGTAGTTTAGACTGGTCTTCAACTCATTATGTAGCCCAGGATGCCTTTGAGCTCATAGTGATCTCAGTCCTGATAGATTTGCTGTTGAATTCTACAAGAAACTTGAAGTATAGGTAATGCAATAATGCTGAAAATTTTTAAGGAAGTTGAAAGGGAAGTACTATTTATAAAATCATTCCTGGAAACAAGTATAATACTGATTCCAAAACCAGACAAGAAATTAAACAAACAACAACAAAAAAAAACTACAGGTCAATCTCACAGATTAATATAAACACAAAAATCCTCAATAAGATACTGGCTAGAGAATGTAACAAATCATCAAGATGTTTAAAAGTTTAATTAACTGATTCAGCAGAGAACCAGGGTTCTTACTTTAAAAACATCCTCATCCTATTTAAAAAAAAAAATACATAGACATTGGGTGAGTTCTTCACCCCCACCCCAGGGTAGTCTGTATATATTTTTTTTAAAAAGAGACACAGATGCTATTGCTCCTCCCTTTGCTGTTTTCTGCCACTATAAACTGCTTCCCTCTGCCATGTGCCACTCTGCCTTACAGCCAGCCAAATACAAACTAAACCTGTACAAACTGTGAGCAAAATAAACCTTTCTTTCCTTAATTTGGGGTGTTGGATATTTTGTCCCAGCAATTAAAAAAGAAGATAAATAAGACAAAACTTGATACCAACAAAGTGGTTAAATTTTTCTTACTATAGACCTAACCATATGTATTACAAGGCCTTTTAAATGGCTTATTAAAAAGCACCTACAGAATTTAAATGGCAATGGAATACCCATCTCTGACAAAACTAAGCAAAAAAAAGGGGATACAAATGAAGGACCATGTTGTATCTGTACATACAAAATAGTTAGGATAGACATACAGCTACTTTCTCTTAATTCAGTGAGAAGAAGGATTTCTATAGTGTTTGGACAGGATATCATGTCTGTATCTTGTACTATGAATAACCACTACAAAGACAACAATATGCACTGTATTAATTATTGAAACTATTCTATTAATCAGTTTTGAAACTGTCTCATTGATATTTGTTTCTCAATAAAATTTATTAAAAAAGAAATTAATAAGAAAAGAGAGATAGTTTCAGAGATGTAACCAAAATAATAATAATAATAATTAATAATAATAATAATAATAATACACAAAAACGTTTTTACCTGTTCTACAGGGGAGATTCTAGTCAGAGCTCAAAAAGAACAAAGTGTTGATAAAAATCCTGCCTATAAGACCAGAGATTTCTGCTGGGTAGAAGGACTGCATTGGTTGTTGGATTCCAGATGATGTGTCTTAAACCTTGGCAAAACGTTTGCCTGAATTTTGCTCCTGTCCAGAGCCTGAGACTGTTAACTCTGGCAAAAGAAATTTCAAGTCAGTCAAATATTGAGGCAGTGGCATGACTATTGTTGCATGATTTTAGTCAAATTATGTTAAAAATCAAAAAGTGTCTAACAAAATGGTTTAAGATGTTGTGAGTTTAGCTAAAAACAAACCATCAAAAAAGATATAAACTACAAAGATAGAGCATTCCACTTCCTAAAAAGAGCTACAGTCTTCAGTCATCTTAAAGGTCACTTCATGGCTTCCAACAAACTTTTCAGACTCCATCTTTGTCCCGAACCAGTGGGTC